CGCATTTATATATATAAATATTCTGGGTAGTGAACAAAATGTGAGTAATATTTTCCCGGTCGCTTTTGAAAAAACTGCAATAATGCTGCATGTGCATGTATATATATGCATACATAATACATATATGTATATTATATATGCATATATAAGTGTACACCTTTATATATATCTCAGATGAAGAAAAGCGCAAAGAAGCCATTTTTAATGCATCCAAGTGAAAGTGTTTAAACGTACATCATTGTACACTACACAGTATTAGTTTGTCAGCATTCTTATATTACACCTCAGTGGTGAGAGAAAAAAAAAAAAAAAAAAAAAAAAAAACTCTTCTCAGCTAGTTATGAACACTTTTATCACTTTATTTATGTGTACATTTTCAATTGGTATCTTGACGCATCCGTACGTTTGTATGTTTTATATAATAACACGTATGCATATTACACATGTATAGTATGCATATATAGCTGCATGTATAATATGTGCACATATTTATCTTTATATATTTATGTACGCGTACGTACACGTAGCATAAGGCAGGTACGAAAAGGTGTATGATGATTCATGTATGCGCATCCATTTTCACCTGTTCACTTCGGATAACCGTCATATATGTATACATATATATATATGGAGTGCATCCCCGCATGGTAATAATTGAATCAAAGGGTAGAAGCTTGTGGGTCCCTTCTAGGTCCATATCCCCATAGTGTGAACTTTTACTTCGCACAGCATGCTGTATATACCTTTACGTAACTAATGCGCATGTGTTCACGCAAGTGTACATGTGGTGCACTGGTACTCTAAGTGTATTATATGCACATATGTGCGTACTTAATATACACGCACCCCCATATACATATAAGATCGTATGTACATGTGTTTCTAAAAAAAAGAGGTAAAATAAATATACTTGTGCCACCTCGCTGTTATTATTTTTTATAAAATTATCACATGACATGATGTTACGTTCACCCTTGTTTATAACATTTATAAATTTATGCGTGTCATAAATATAAGTGATGTAAAAAACAGTAATATCAGTTAAAAAAAAAAAAAAAAAAAAGTAGCTTTATTTTAAATCTATCAATCTTTAACAAGTTAGTTTTAATTTCATCTTTATCTTACATGTGACAAAGTATATTGATACATCCATATAAACATCGTACTATCCTGCCCCCCCCTACAAAAAAAGAAAAAAAAACGAAATAACTTTACACAATTCAAGTTTATATAATACACTCTGTATTCACATTTGTGATGTATGTACATGTATACATACACGTTCGTACATAAGTTTTTTTCCATCTGTTACCAAAGTGTAAGATGTTATTTATAACTTTTTATCTTTGAAGCCCCTCTTCCTATGCTTTTGCTGTGTGGAACAATGTACACGTGAGCCTACGTAGGTAAGCTCATGCGTACAAGTACAGGGCGCGCAACCATACGTCCGAATAAACGTGCTACGATCAAGCTAGCAAACGTTTGCCCCGTTAAACTCCGCTGGTTACATAAGTACATGTATACATGTATATGTACACGTATGTATATATATATATACAAACGAACATACGGTCAGCATGTTCGTGCCCTCCGTGAAAGTTAAACAAAGATGAAACACACGTCCAATACATAATAGTGTACTATTTTCATCCTTCCCCATTTTGAACAGTAGTATATTTTATCAGCTGTGTGTAAGAAGTGATCTTATGGGTGTATATATACCTGTATGTACGTACAGTTTGTTTTATTTTATTTTATTTTTTAAACCATTTCTATATTTCACTTTTTGAATTAACAAAATAAGTAAAAAAAAATAAATAAAAAGAATTACACCTTCGTGCTGCATCCACACACACACACACACACACACACATGTATGTGAAAATGTGCGCATACAAACGCGAGCATACGGAGGCATTACACGTGTAGCATGTATGCTTACATGTGTGTATGACTGGGTGTATATATATATATATATACTTTCGCTCTTTTCTTGCATCCTGTGCGTATATAGGAGGTAGCCACAGGTATATATATATGTTACACACCGTAGTGCGCTGATTTCCATATACGAATTTAGGACTTTTGCCCTTTTTTAACATGTTAATAAACAGTGAGTTATCTTTCATTGCACACATTTTTTGGTAGATGCACATGCATCTCTAAATGTCTGTGTGTGCGGAAATTTGTGCATATACTTGAGCGTATGTGTACATATGTGCATCCGTGATTGTATACAGATCGTCTCAAACAAAAAAAAATAGAAAAAAAAAAAACAGTCTGTATACATTTACACGTACTTAACGCGCATATACGTACATCAGCCAAGACTCGAGCGGCCACCCGCCAGAACTTGCGCCAGAGCATACGTGGGAATATGCATTTATGCAAAAACGTACATGTAATAAAAAATTAAGAACTAAATAAGTCACTACATTGCTACATTATTGTGCATTTTGCGTATGTGGCAAAAAAAAAAAAAAAAAAAAAAAACTACTACAACATATAGCATAATAACTCATACATGTGTATAAAAATAATTAAGAAATGCTTCGCCAAGAATAATGAATGCCACATTCAAAAGACTTGCGAAATAATTACATATACTCTTTTCATTGTCGTTTTGTTTATTGAATTTTTTTAACCATTTACTGATGTAAATTTTAATAGAAAATGCATTTTATCAACTGAATTAAAACATGAGTTTAAGTAATTATAAGATGTTCCTTCTTTAATTCTTTTCCCCTAATTTTTTTTTTTCTTTTTTTTTTTTTTGGTTTATGAATAATTTTTTTTTTTTGCTAGCCTTTTTCTATCATAGCACTTTTTATGCGTGTAAGAGAAAGTTTAATTCATTTTTCAAATGTGCTTACACGCTTTACATCTTTACAATTTTTAATGTTTTTTTTTTTTTTTATATGTCTATATGATTAATAGGAAAAATGCTAAGTAGTTAAATTAAGTTTAAATATTATTTTCCCCTCGCCCCCCATTTTGCGGGCGCATATACACACTGTCCTATGATGTAGATTGGGCGTACTATTCTTCAATCCCTTGCCCCCCGCCTGTGCATACATCCGAATGCACAAGTGGGTATATTTATGTGTGATTGTGTAGAAGGGTTGAGTAGCCGTACGTATGTGTTCGTGCGTGTATTTGCTTGTGGCCGTTTGTGTATGCATGTGTAAAAGTGCATACCATCGCACATACACAAGTACTTACATGGACACATACGTGTGAGCACTGGTATTCCCCCACGTGCACGTGCAGACGTATCGATTGTCAAGGAAAAAACGTTCTCGCTTTGTGAATGACAAAAAAGGAAACGTGTATTCTTATGTACATTGATTGGCCGCAAGTCTTGGATGTGAAATTGTGAAGTAGATGTAGTAATGTTATAGGAGCAAAAACCGTTGTATGCTTTAATCATTTTTTTATTCGTTTAGTGTGTATACCTTGATAATTTGTATGTTAATATATGGTCATTTTTTTTCTTTTTTAAAAAATTATATTGTTTTATGCAAACTTTCTTTGCTGTGCTCGTATACTACTGTATGTTTGAGCTGCTGTATATTTGTATTGTTCTATATTTGTATCGCTTCACATTTGTATTGTTCCGCATTTGTATGCATGTACATTTGTTCCAGTTTATTATCGCTTTTTTTTTTTTTTTTTTAATTCGCACATCTCGTGATAATAGTAAAACTTGTTGCGTTATAATTCTCTATTATTCCATTATTTCACCATTTTATTGTTTTTTTTTTTTTTTCTTTTTTTTTTTTATGCATTTTTTTTACCTTTGCAAGACTTACATATGCATATGTTGCCCGCAACATCCGTTCTATGCTTCACTTGTTAATACGCTTTTAATTGTAAGACCTCAAAGATAACTCAGCTTTCGAAGAGGCCTTAATGTCCCCCCCCCCCCCCATACATTTTTGTGCGCGTATGTGTGCGCAAAACAATTGGTGTAAGGGGTCATATTTACACTTCCCACCACATATACGGATTCGCGTTTGTTTCGTTTGTCATTGCGCCTTGTTCCTCTTTGTTTTGAAAACCAAGTGCTTTTGCATGTGATCATTATTATTGCTTTATAAATTAACGAAATTTTAAATAATTTGTCCAGTTACCTGTTACTGCCTGAGACTCTTAACATAGGATTGCATAAGCGCAGTTTCGTGGACACTGCGTAAAGGCAGCATTATTTTGTGTTTTTTGCTCCTTTCCATTTTGCTGCTCTCCCCTATTTTATTTCCCTCCTTTTTTTCACTGCACCGTTAAGTTTATTTTTCCGTTGCGTCACCGGTCTTTGAGCGATTTAGAAGCTCAGTGATTGTGCATAATTGAAAATTATTGTTTATTTAAATAAATTTGTAATGACCCTTTGTCTGGACACCCAGTGTGCTCAGTCTGTACATGTACTATAATATATCATCACAAAGGGTAGTTTATATTTTTTCCTTCTTTTTTTTTTTTTTTTTTTTTTTTTTTAAATATATAACTTTTTAAATGTGACTGATACATAGCGTAGCCATTTTTTTTTTTTTTTTCCCCCTTTTTATTGACGTGAAGGTGGTGGTTTTGGGTGGCAAACACTATTTCATGCTGGTTGATAGGAATTGATGCCCCATTCGTATAAAGTGTATATGCAAGACCAAGGCAGCGTCACATCTGGGTGTATGTAGGAGAGTGCATCCGTTACCTTAATACGTTGTGGGTAATCTGGTACTGAAAGTGTAGAACAGCGTCTGTGCATGTCCTGTGGTACTGCCCGCTTCACACCCCTACCATATGCGCCATTGGATAATACTCCAAAGTATTATACTTTGAATTAGTAGAATAAAAAATAAAAATACAAAAAAAATATAAAAATTAAAAATAACAAAAAAAAAGTAAAAAATCGATTCGCAATAAAGTCCAGATTATGATCCCGAAATTAACAAGTTGAGAAACTTTTTTATTTTTCTTAAGCGAAAATCAAATTGGTTTATTACGCGATGAAGAACATGAACCTGGACTACCAGAGTGAACAAACGAATGTACCCCCGGTTGCGCCGGAGGGGGACTTGAATAACTTACCGCTGAAGGGAAGCGACAAAGACAAGAAAGATAATAAGCATAAAACGGAAAAGAAGGATCAGAAGGAAAAGAAAGAAAAGGGAAAAACAAAATCCAAGACAGTTAACCAACAAATGGAAAATGAAAATGCCCACTTGTACAATTCACAAGGTGGAATTCTCTCCTCCCAAGGGAATTGTAAATTTATAAGTAGTGACGCATCTAGGATGACTAATGAACTGAGTAAAAGTGCTGACCTCGATAGTACCTATGCTTACAGGTATAATATGTGTGCAACGACTGCTAGTAGTAATAATGAAAGCAATAAAGAGAATTTAGTGCTACACGATGTTGCAGATGATAAAAATAATTTTCTGCACCCAACGGTGTGTAATGTGGAAGGAACCATTGGGGTAACACCTTTTAGTGAAGCCTGTATATTTCCGCACATAAATAACACAATGGAACCTCCTGGTTTCGCACATTTGAATAAGTCCCATGGGGGGAGAAATAACATGGTCGATGATATAACGGACGCAGCAAACGTGGGCAGCATTATAAGCGACTGTTATAGTGGAGGGGTGAACAGGAGGGACAATGCAATAATCGCGGGTGATAATTCCAAGTACGATGAGTGTGGCGAGCTCTACAGCAGTACGGGCGGCGCCAATCGCACTTGGAACTACGTAAGCGGTGTGAACAGCATGCACAATTTAAACAGTGCGAACTCCCCCAGTGAGCACCCACACAGTGGGTTGAACTCCTGCGCGGGCAGTGTGTACGATGGTGTAAGTACAACCAGCAGCAATGTGAAATCTTCCTCATGGAAAAGTGCAGCCCACATGAGAAATACGAATATGCTCGGTTTGACCATCGGGGAGCAGATTAGCATTGTGAATAGTGCACCCATGAAAGGTGGTAGCTCTAGGAAGAAAACGAAAGGTGCGGACGATTTAGCAGATAGGGAAGTCTCCATGCAACCTGAAGAGATATTTGCAAATTTGAACAGATTAAATGTGGACGAAATGGGAACACATGATGATGTGATGAAGGAGAAAAATGCTATGGACTTATTTCATTATGAAAATTTTAGTTTGGATAATGGTATGTATAATCTTATGGGTAGGAATATGGATCATCAAGGTAAATCTGTCTCCGAAAATTGTGGTACGATCACCACGACGATGCCTGCTATGATGGATGGTACCAGCAACTCTCCTAATGGTAATCACAATGTAATGAAGAATAACGTAGGTATTACTGAATCCAGGAATATTGTTACACCACCGGGGGATGATCTTGCCCTTGCCGAGGTTATGAGGCATAACAGAAACTATGAGGATTATACAAAAATGTCTTCCACCTTCAAAAGTAACCCAACTAGCGATTTGGAAAAGTATATGCCGGGCCTGGTAAGCAGCAACGGTAAGGAAAACGGGAAAGGAAGCTTTTACAACTCCTTTTTAAGTAATGCAAACGAGGGGGATAAACTTTTCAATGGGGATGACTCGGAATGTGCGTCTATTTATATGGCCAAGGATAATGTAGAGGATCGCCACGACAGTAGTGGGGTGTATGTCAATGTGGGTAGCGACAATGGTGTACATGATGAGAAAAATTTTAAGACAAAAAATTTAATCAAAGAGCAAATTTTAAACTATGCTAGGCATGCGCAACATGCTAATCATTTGCAGCATGGTATTCGTGCAGTTCAGTCCAATCACGTGAGTTACAACCAGAGCAAGCTGCATACGTCTAAAATGGCATTTCCGATTATGGGACAAGAGAGGAAGGTAAAGAAAAACCAGAGTGAAGATTTAAAGTTCATTAATAAAGATCGCTTCTTCTTTCGCAATGGTGATAGCCTATTCAAGGGAGATGTGGATGACGAGTTTGCCGCGTTGATCAATAAAAATTTTAAAGGCAAAAATGCGTGTGCAGAGAAGAGTGTGCACAGTGTGAAGCCTGCGTATATGACCACCGACAGCACCATATACACAGCCAATAACGCTGTTAGTAAGAACAAAAATGGAGGGCAAGAGGATGATGACGAGGAGGAGAATGGCCATTACTGTGATAATGAGAATGGGGATGATTTGAGCAGACGTTGTGGGGATGGAGTTACTGGACCGTTTAACTTCGAGAACGAGGTGCATAAAAATTGTGAAAGCGTTATCGGTCCTTATAATTACGATGAAGAAATGCATATCAATTATGAGGACCGTTTGCATTTGAACTATGATGATGATCTGTTCAGTAGGAACACACTGCATCTGAACGTGAAGGATGATGATATTGGAAATGCAAGCTATTTCGAAAAGAGCTCCGATTTTGAAGACAATGTGGCGCAGCTACAGAAAGATTTAGATTTTTCTGTCAACCTAAGCAGCATAAATAATAATATGTCTTTCTTAAATTTTGACGACTCGGAAGAAAAGGACTGGAAGTACGAACAGATGCATGACATATTTTCCACTAAGGGGGATGTCCATGTGGGTAACGACGATCACCATTCTCTTCATGCAAAAGGCACATTAACAAACTCTTTTCCTTTTAACGATGATAACAGTAGCAGCGGTTACAACCTGGGTGGAGGCAGAAATTTTGGCCTTAACGCTTGTAATACCGTTTTTGCTAGCCCCGCATATAGTGAACCCAGAAATTTTGACGACAAATCAATTTTTAACCCAGCGGTGGAAAGCAGCAATCAGTGCAATAATGGTGTGAAAAAAAATGTAATGAATAATAATATGCTTTTTGTGAATAACAGTAATTTAAATATGAATTGGAGGAATGCTCATTCTGTGATACGAGAAAAGTGTACAAATGAGGAAAGCACATACGGAAGAAATAATGACACTATTAATAGCAACTTAATTATTGAGGAACATAATGCTTGTAATAATGAGCACACACTGATGGATGACAATCATTTGGGCATGACCCATAACGATCATTCATTAGAGAATAATACCACCAGCTTGGCAAACAACAAAAAGGTATTACATAGCGGTTGTGTGAATACGACATGTGCTAGCGTGAGTGAAAGCATCCCCGCTTTTACTCTTAGCAAGAGTAAAGGTGCACACAGAAGAAGTGATCATCTTAATGATGAAGTTGATTCTGCTTTGCATAGCGACGGAGAGCACATGGAGAAGGAGCACTCCCGCAGCACTTATTCCAATGCGATAACGAAAAACGGTGGAGAGTTGGTCGGAATAAAAAGCAGGACAGTACATTCCTCTGGTTTAAGCCGAAAAGGTAGTATGAACAAGGAAGGGGTTACTGATAGCACCTTGGAAGACAACGCCAAAAGGGGTGGTAGCAATGCGAAGAGAAATGAAGAGACCAACCCAGCTGAACATATCACCGGTGATGTTACAGTCGAGTCGGTAATTGGCAAGTGCGGAAAAAATAGCAACAACGGTAGTAGTAACAACAAGAATAGCGTCAAAGGGGTCGGCATGGTGCAGAACAGTCGGTCAAGGGAAAGTGCAACGGATTCAAGAAGCGTACGAAAAATGAACACAAATGATCAGAGTATCAACATAAGCGGCATGGAAAATGTGCAGCTAAAGAATGCTAGTAATTTTAGCAATGACAGCACCAATAGCACCAGCAGCAGCAGGAGTAGGAGTGATGGAAGTAATAGAAGTGGTAGAAGCGGAAGAAGCAATAGAAGCAACAGGAGCGGCAGGAACGATCCCGTCGAGAGTAATGGTCAAAACCAAAAGAGTATCAACCCCGTCGCAAGTGAGTTGAACAAAACTAGCAGCCAGAACAACGGCTTCATGAACGCAGAATACAAGAACAAAATGATCTCTCCAGAGTACAACACGGAGCCATTAAGTTATGAGCATATCAAGAATGACAAACACTCGTTCAAAAACGAAATGGTAAGAAATAACAAGTCGAGAAGTAGTGCCTTTTTAAATTTTGCCTCTACTAATTTTGCCCGTACGAATTCCAATGAACACACAAGTAATGTCTTTATGAATGGTTTATATAACCTGTATGGAAGGGGAAGAAGTCATGTGAGGAAATATTTCCAATCGGGGCTGAATGATGGTAATAGAAGTGCTAGGAGTAGTAAGTATGGTAGCAACAATTTAATGATCAATCGAAACAGCCTTGACTCGTACACAGGTGGAAATGATCTGAACAGCACCAAGGCGGCCATGAATTTAAATCGCACATTTTTGAACCAGTCTAATTGTAACAACCGTGTGTATCGTGCGAGCAACGAGAAAAAGAAAAAGGAGTCCTTCCTACCCATTACTAACAGCCCGTTAGGAAATGCTCAACGAATAAATTTATTAACTGCTGAAAAGGGAAAGAACGATATGGTAGATAGTCCCCTTTTGAGCTTTAACAAGCAAAATGTAAGAGGTAGCTACCCTCTGAAGGATGATCACTTAGGACCCATTAATACTAGTATGAGTAGCAAAGCGAAAGACGATATTTTCCATCTCAACGACACAGTGGAAAACTTTGGTGTGAATAACCAATCGGCCATGTACAACCATCCAATGGATCCAGGCGAAAATGTGTACAGTTGCATGAGTGATCAAAAGGTCTATTATGATATGAACAAGCAGCAGAATGGCCTGTATAAAAATGGCACTAATGTGGAAAAACTCGTTTTTAAGATGAATGACCCTAATGGTAGATGCTTCTATGGCAATGTAAAAAATGTTCACGGGGATGAAAAGGCAGCCAATGTAAATCTGATTGGAAAGAATGAATACCTGTTTAGAAATATAAAGGAGGATATGTATAACGAGGTGAAACATGTGCAGGAAAGCGAACTAAAGTATGGCCCCTTGAGTGGTGCACAACGCAATGGAGCTAGTATCGGCGTAGACATGATCCCACCTGGAGTGGGCCCTGCCAAGTGCCCCCCAAATAACGCCAACATTTGCGATAACCTAGTGGAGAGCGATCACTTGAAAAATTTAACCGATAGCATGAGTCGATTCGAAAACGACGTCGAGTTTATACTGGATGAAAATGAAAACTTCGAGGGCGATTCTAAAGCGACTCTGAAAAATGACAAAATTATACAACTGCAAAATATAATAAACAGTCTCAAGTTTAAGAACAAGCAGCTGGAGAAGGAACTGACTGAGGTGAAAAATATGCAACTGAAAAAAAAACAAAGTCTGATATTAAATAGTCTAAGTAATAAAAATGATGACATTAGTAGCTACTCAACTTATAAAGACGACACGAATAACTCCGATTGCGGAAGTGCAGACAATTCTAACAGGTATGTTCAGAACTTTTTAAATGATAAGGAGAAGTACAATTACGACACGAAGATTTCCATACAAAAGTTTCATTTGGCCTATACAAATAATTCTATTGGGAAATTAAAAATAGCTGCTCAGAGAGACATTAGTGGCTCCTTTATGGGTCCCAAGGGGATACACGTGAAAACGATTAAATCGTCTCTTCACATTTCTGTGTACAAAAGTGCAAAGGATGTTTGGTTTCCAGGATTTGCAGATAGCCATGTGTTTTTATTAAAAGGAAATATTTTTGGTATTTTAAGAGCATGTCAATTATTGTACCATTATGTGAAGTCCAAAATGTCTTCTTCCAAATGTTGCATATATTTGGTCGCTCCGTTTGAATGTGTGCAGAAGTTACTGGCCGATGGGTGCAAGCGAATGGCAATTATTAAGGAAGAGTGCGGGGCTGACGTCCGATTAGGCAATTTGTACGTACAGGTACATGAGGGCTTTACGGAGCGCTTAATGGAGATACGGGGAAATGAGGTTAATGTGGATTGCGCATTGGAGAAACTGGTCATTTTTATGCAGTCCTGCTTTTCGGTGCAGTCTTACGACTATGAGTTGCTCAAGTATCCTTGCCGGTCGGTGCTGAATTTGCAGTGAGGGGTAGCAAGTGGACAGTTGAGTATTTTCATTGCCAAGAGGAAAAACGGGAGAGTAGGCTTTTTTTTTTTTTTTTTCTTGTGAGGAGAAGAATTGGACATTTGTCAACCATCATAACGCATATGCATCGTTGCTGGAGACGTTTACAAAAGAGAGACAGAAAGAAAGTGGGCATCCTTGTTAATCATTTTTACTTTTATTTTCTATTTTATCGTTTTATGGAACGCGTATATTGTGAAGTAGGAACCCTGAGCACGAGCAAAGTAGAAGAACCGTTGCGTGTATATTTTTCTCATATTTTTTTTTTTTTTATTTTTTCGGTGCATCGTCAAGATGTGCTGTGTGCATATATATACTCTGTGGGCATAGAACAAAAAAAAAAAAAAAAAAAAAAAAAAAAAAACGGGCTGTACAAAACTTGCAAACACATTTATATTTATATGTTGGGCAGGGAATTTTCTCCCTCTCATTTTATTTTTTTCCACCTCCTTCCTTTGCCACTATATTTTTTTTTTTTTGTTACATGTATGTTTTGTTTTGTGTAAAGGATTTTTTTGTATTATATTCTCCTTTTCATTGTTTCGTCGGGTTTCAGTCCTCGCACCCACGCTTCAGGCTGCTCGTGCCGCGAATCACACACTTATTTTTGCCCTCTACGTGTTCACTTTAACATTTCATAAGAATCTATCCATGTGCATATCTGATCCTTTGCACACTTACTGCTTTTCTCTCCCTCTCCGTCTAAATCTTCACAAGCATACTTTCAGTACATTTATTTAATCATTTACTCTAATGTTTCAATAGTTAACATTTATAATTATGTACTAATTTTTTTTTTTTTTTTTTTTTTTTTTTTTTTTTTTTTAGTTATAATCATAATATTAATTTACATTAGAGAAATTTTTTTTTAAATGTTACAACATATGAATTTGTGTTTATGTTAGATTAAGCGATTTCTTTTTCTTTTTTTTTTTTTTTTTTTTTACCATCATCTAACCTATTCAATTATGAAATGATTTTTTTCTTCTCCTCTCTAACATTTGTCTTTTTTGAGCTATGTGAAGGTGTATATACCGTTTGTGTGGGATTAATCCTAAATGGGGTGGTATCACATGTTCAATGTCTCTTAACCACCTTTTATTCCCCTTACGGTGTTATTAACTCTGCCGTGTGTGGCCTATCAAAAATGGAGTTTGCGCATTTTGAGGCCATATACTAAATGGGTAAAAAGGGGAATGGGAAATCCAATTAACACCCTCGGCATGGTGGCCACTTTTTACAGGTTGTGTAAAGCTCTACAAATGCCTATTTCATCTTTGATGGGCTCCCTCAATTTTGAGGTGACGAGTAAAGTTTTAATAAAAGCACGACCTTTCTCAGCGTTACCCCTTTCAATTGTGTGTATACGGCAAATTCCAATTTGTGCAAAAAAAAAAAAAACAACATGGGACAAGCTTCCCAACAGCATGCACATGCAACTTGTTACCGGCTTGTCCACGCACGCCTCCTTAGGACAAAATGGTCCAAAGGAATAGGGCCAATGTGGTGTCATTCACTTTTGCTATCCCTGTTGAATAGCAACAACCTTTTTTATGCACACATGTATGCAAACAAATACGTAAAAAACGGGATGATAATTTTCAAACCTCCATCGCGCAAAAAAAAAAAAAAAAAAAAAATCGTTACACACTACACAAGCATGATTTTTTGCAAAAGCCAAGTGCAAAAAAAAAAAAAAAAAAAAAAAAATACTGAACTGTGCTAAAATGTTCTAGCGGCGAACATGTAAAAATGGGAAAACACGCACAACAGAAATGTTGAAATTTTGTTTATCCCTCTCATTTGTCATTGAAGAAGACATTTTTACAAATTCCGGGAGTGGTAATCTGGACACAAAAAGCCGGCATTTTCCCTAGCCCAAACGTTGCACATTGTGTTGTATGATTAGTGCTTTTTGCGAGACACATATATGTATACACACATTTGTGTTCTCACATGTAAACACGCCCGCTATGCTACTGTTTCTCCACCCCATTCGCGTAACAAGCAAAAATGTAAAAAAAAAAAAAAACAAAAAGTGATAAGAACAGTGCTTTTCTTGGGTTATCAAGAGGGGGTGTTCCAATTTTCCACACCCATGTGGATGCATATATATGTATGTACTCGCAAGTGAAAGCATAATTATGTGCACATGGGGAGTGCATGCGCTTCCTTCCGTCACCACACACGCGGAACCGCATTAACCGCATCAGTTTTAGTTTCCTTTAGAGACATAATTATGTTGTATATTTAAATTGGGCTATTTGGCTGAATTTTTTTTTTTTCCCCCCCGACATTCAAAGTTATACAATTAGCTGCTCGCTCGGCTTGCTACCTGCACCCCCGGAACAGCGTCACGAGACAACGTCGGCGCCTCTTCCCTTTTTTTTTTTTTCAAAAACGTAATCTAGAACAGAACAGTCGGAAAATATGAACAATATAAAGGTGTATGGATGCAAAAATGTGACGAATGTGTTTGCAAAAAATAAAGAAATTAATGAATATATAAACGTTTTACAATACGTGGATGGCTCAAATGAAGGAGCTAGCCATTTTCATGTTTTCATTTTTGACTCCTTTGAAAATGTCGACAGGGGAGGAGTACCCAATCATGAGAACGTTCCTCCCGGTGGAGCAGCATATACTCCCTTTGTGAATACCCAATATTGGGTAGGGGAGGAAGATATCAATATCCCTGAAGGAAGTATATTTGGACATAAAAATGTCGGAGATCAGAAAAGTACGCACACTTCCCAAGTAGGTCAAGAACAAACGAGGTGTGGCGAGATGTTCATTTATTACAATGTCGTATTTGACCCCGCATGGATAAGAAGCGCGTTAGGGGTGGACATATATGAGCGAGCACTGTGTGGGAACACTGTAGACATGTCGAAGGAAAAGCTAATACTATGTAGACGCTGTCGTACGGAAGATGATAAAGAAGAGGTTGAAGTGGCCATGATGAATGCGTCCTTTTATAACGATCATGGAAAAAACTCTAAGTTGAATCAAATTTTGGAAACTTTGGGTATAGAAAGTTTCAGCTCCTTTTCAGGGACTCTCCTAAAATTTCCCTTAACCTTTCAATCATGTATGAACCAATTTTGTGAGGAGTTAATAAAAATCACAACCGAATTTATGCTCTTGTCTCGGAAGGTAGAAACGTTTGCAGTTCAGATGAATGGTATTTCTGTGTGCACCTGGGAGAGGAACCATAACAGTATTCCCATTTCCCATTTGGAAGGTGAAACACACTTAGTGAATAGTATCCCCTACGTTACCGTGCGCCATAAGCACAAAGACCAAATTACCCAGTATGTTCTCCATGCGAATGCGGTAAAAAGTAGCAACCAAGAGGAAGAAATATACTTTATACATGTAAGTAGACAAACGCGAGAAGGGTTACAAAAGTGTAGCGACATTGATGCGTTCCAAAGGGGGGGAAATATTAATTGGCCGAGCTACATACAAACCGTTCCAGGTGTCGTTCCCATGTTCATAAAATCGAAGAGTAAAAGGAAAATACACATGGCAGATATCACAAAGGGGTGGGGAGCTAATTCCATTTGTGACCTTTACATGGAATTTTTGCTACTCCTCCGTGAGCTAAACCTATCCTGCAGTGCATATGATTTTGCCTTTCATTTTCCAGACACTTTAGAGGCCAACATATTTTGCGGTCTGTATAGACAACTATTTGACGAAGAGAAAAAATTAAAACTTTTTTTTAATGGGCATCAATGGATAGGATTCTCTGAATGTGTATTCGTTCCTTATGACTTGAAAAATATTTTTGAAAATTGCATTTCCGACATTGTAAAATATTCCGGTGTGAAGAATTTACTGTTTTTTGACCAGCGAGTGAAGCATGCTTTGTTCCATTATTTGAATACCCTATGTGAGGAAAAAAAAAATATATTGGCTGCAAGAATTTGTAAGCGAAATTTACTGTATATAGAAAATGTCCCTGATAAATTCAGGCGAGCAGATAAACACAACATAGATGATGAGGTGGTGAGGAAAACTTATCAAAATAGGACAAATACATTTTTGTGTGAAGTGGTCATAAACAATGCTATCTATGTGCAGTTCCAGAATTGGGTTCCCATTTTGTCGTACCTGCTGGAAATGGGGGAACACTCCGTGTTAGCATGTCTGAAGAACTCACCCTGTTTTCCAAATGAAGAAAAAGAGTGTAAGAGGATATGCGAATTGGTGTATCCCCTCGACAGCAAAGATTTCTACGGCATAGACAATCACGATTATAGTGAAAATGCCGTAGCAGGTAAGGTTAAAGAAGGCACAAATGGTGAAAGTTGTAGTAATATGGAGGGGGGAAATACATCTAATGGAGAAAAGCACATGAAGTACGACACACATCAGAAACAAAATAAAAATTGCATTGGGAGGGAAAATCTGTTAAACTTGTATTTGGTGAAGCAGGTTAAGGAGGAGGGGATCCAAAAGATGAAATTTTTGGGTCTGACCATCCTCAAAGAGCAGTACAAACTGAATGACAACATAAACGATATTTTCCTCGATTTGGACAAACTATATAGTAGCATAAATTTGTTCGATACTAAATTAAAAGTCCTTAACAAAATAATCTTCCAGTTGGAAAAAAATATACACCATTTGGAAGACCCCTTAGTGCTGCAAAAATGTAGGGAGCGTTTTTTCCTGCCATTGTACCGGAGCAAACACGTTAGTTATGCCTTCCCGCCAACAGGGGATGCTTGGGTAGAAGGCGGTAGTGCGCTAAGTAAAAAGGCCGTCATTAGAGTGTCACCCAATGGGGATAATCAAAAAAGGGGGGTCGCCAAAACGGAGATCTCCTCTACCAATGACAATAATACCATCACTGTTGTTGCTCCTGTAAAGGAGACTAACAACAGTCCACCCAGACACATTTCCAACACCTCAAAGCGTGACGTACATAAAAGTGCCAACCCTTGTGGAAAAACCCAAAACGACGCCGGAAACGATCAGAAGGATAAGGACTTTGTCAAAATATGTGATGCGTATGATAGAAAATATTTCAACCTAATTTTTTTAAAAAGAAAATGTTACCATGTGGAGAAGTTAACTCTCTCTCCCAAATTGAGGGACCTACTTCAGTTGGAGAAGAGTCCTCCATTGGCTGAGGTTCTGGGGCACCTGGAATTGCTCTGTAGGAGTTGCAAAAATACGTGTTTTCAGAATGTGTCCAAGGTGTACGATGATATATATGACCATTTGGAGAAGTACATTGTTCGGCACAAGTCGAGGGGAGGAGTAGTCTACTCCGGTGATGCAGCAGCGGGGGGGGTGGGTGACTCCCCGGCACAAAGCGAATTTGGCATGCTAGCCCATTTTGTCCAAAGAAATAAGTTCATTTACATAAAGAACAAACTATGGAGGGCGAAGGACGTTTTCTCCATTAAGCATACCGTCCCCTTCAACCTCTTCCTGTGTGAACTACCCAAACTGTACCGAATGAAGTACCCCAATTTGATCGAACTGAGTTGCGTGCAGGGAAGTCTGAAGCATTCCAATGTGGTTAGCATCTTGGACAAAATTATTTCCAAACTGAAGGGAAAATCGGTTCCCCCAGATGAGCAAGACACCCATTTGAACGAGAAAACAAATGAATCTGAGGGAGAAAAAGAACAAAAGTTGTACCTATCAGGGCTTTTAAAAATATCATACATCAACACATTGAACATAATTGATGTGTCAGTTTGTGATTGTGTACCCCTGTGTACAAAGGGAACAAAGGAAAAGTTACAGACGGTGGAGAATGAAAAGGGTAGAATTTTGGAAAAACTGAACCAAGTGGATAAGAAGACAAAGCTTCAGTTGAAATGTCCCTGCTTCGATGGCATGTACCTTCCAAATAGCAATTACCTTTTAGTGAAGAAGGAAAAGTTAACCTATGTTAGTAGCCCCCTACTGTATAATAACCACTCACACAAAGGTAACGTCGTGCATAGGGATGTGAAGGAAAACATCATTGACTTGTTAAATGTTCCAAAGAGGGGTGAAAAGGAAAATGCCGAACTGAATAGAGGAGTGCAGAAAAATCACAAAAAGGTTTCCAACCAAGGGGATCAGAATAGTATGAAAAAAGGGCCCATAAAAAGTCTCCCATTGGGGGAAAACAAAACAGTGAAGAGTACGCTTCCGGCGAGCACCATAACCAAGGGTAAAAAAATCCAAGTGGGAAAAAATTCACAAAATGCTATAAACAGCCAGGAGACAAGTAAAAAAAAAATAACGTCCTGCCCAATCCAACAGAAGAAAAAGGAACAACGGAAGAGAGAAATAAAAAAAGAAAAAGCACCCACTGTTAAGAGAGAACCCAAATTGTTACCTCCACAAAATGGAACTGTGGTAAGTACAAATGGGAACGGGAAAAAAGAGCTCCAGAAGGGGAACCAACTCAATGATAATATCCTATTTAGGGAAATAAAAAACTTAATATACTTTCTAGACGACATAGGATGCATGGACATAAAATTGATTTCAGATAAGAGAAGTTTCAGCTCGGACACACTTCCTAAAATATTTCTCAAAAGAACTTGCTTATGTCTGTACATACAGGTCAAGAAAGAACAATATGAGAATCTTCTAATCACAAATGACGAACTGAATTCCTTTGCCAATGCTCACAATGTAGTGCGCAACAAGGAATATCTCAATGCAGATACGAACAACTTGGAGTCATTAAAATCGTGCAACGACTTGATTTGCGCCTACCTTTTTGAGAACCTTTCCGGAGTCCTCGATTATTTACTAATTCGAAATGGGAGCTGCATCTCGGAGTGGTGTTTACGGCAAAGCGATGAGATGGCTAACAGTGTGCGCACCGAGGAGGGGATCAATAAGGAGTGCAGCCATGAGCAGAGTTGCGATAATCCAGATGAGCTGAATAGCAGAGTGAATGAAGTACCGAACGTGTGTCAACCACAAGCGGAATTTTCGAATGGGAAAAAATCTCCGGATCGTGGGGATCAAGGAAGTTCCCTCCTTAATGACGGTGAAAGCCGTGGGAGAAACACGATGTGTGTGCCCCCAAATGTAGACGCACCATCACAGAGTCACAAAAGGGTCTTATACAAGAAAAACCACATTCTCAGCAAAAAGGATGAAGAACTGGCCAAAAATATTTTTTTTCATAACTACTTTCGACTCGATGAAAAGAACAAATGGGAAGAAAATAGCTACCTGCGCAAACAGTGCAAAGTGGGAAGTGTGAACAGAAAAAAGGAGGGGGTACCCCTGCCGGGAGAGAAAAAATATTATGTGCGACGGACAACCGGAGTGGGAAGCGGCGAATATCCACTAGGAGCAATTTCTATCAGCGACATAGAACATGATCGTATAGAGCCCACAGAAATGAAGACAACATATTCAAATGTGGGGGAAAATCAAATCATATGCATTCGCTTGTACAATAAACAAAAGCTGTCAACATTGAAGATGATTGAAAGGGTCTTTTTGGAGTGCAAAAAATATAGTGAGAAGTTTTTTTTCTTCTCAAAAAATCTTTTAAAATTGGATATAATAAAAATAAATGAAAAAGGAGGGCGGGCTGAAAATGCCACAAGCTTAGGGATCTGCATGTCTGACTATCACTTCCATCTGCGGGAAAAATTTTACAACGCCTCGAAGAAGAACAAGCAATTACACACTTCAGGGAAGAATAAAGAAGAACAATTATCCTCAGACGAAACGAATTGCAACAATTTGGAAATATTTCTTCAGTGCCAAATATACAACGGACGTAAATCGAGCAGATGGATCATAGGACTATTGCACGACGTCCGCATAGCCATTTGCTTTGAGCACTATCAGATTTTTCGCAAACATTTTCTGTTCCAAAATTTTCACATCGTTTCAAATATAGACAACCTACCTATGCATATATGTTGCAATTTATTTGACAATAATATCTGCAATTTGAAAAAACTGAAAAATGTGGAGAACCTGCAGGGGGTGGTAAAGAGGATCTCCATTTTGTATGAACACTTTTTGAAGCTGGCCCACAGAAATGCAGTGAAGAAATTGTTGAAGCACGATTCGAGTAAGGTGCTGTACAAATGTAAGGGGAAATGGGTTAAAAGGAAGATTCCGGAGAGGCACCCTGTGAGCGGGGCGGGTGGTATAAGTGCCCCGGGGAGCACAGGTACGGGGAGCAGAAGCCTTGGCAGCGCCGACCTCAGCAGCATAACAAGCATGGATAGCATGAATAACATGACCAGCATGAACAGCGTACACACCATGCACAGTGGGAAGGTGAGCAACATGGTGAGCGCCTGCCGAACGGACCACTCCAATGGTGCAAACACGAGCAACACCCCGAAGGAGGCAAACGATAGCGTAACCCTAGACTACATATACAAAGTAGACAAAAGGGACATCAAAAATTTCAGCGAAATATATCAAATTTTTAAGACCAAGTATCTTAATTTTATTCCCAAAAAAAACGACAAGAATGACTTGTTCTGTTCAGTTGTTAAAAATGTTTTTTTAAATTGCCCAGAACTTCAAATTTTGCCTTGCTTAAAGAAGAAGGAAAAAATTTACGCCCTGTACTGGTCTAGGATGTACGGCTGTGTCAATATCTATCCCTTCTGCAAATACTTGAACCAGATTACCTTCTTCCTTTTGGATTTGGGTCTCACCGTTCTGCTTCCCTACTACGAAATTGACAACATTGTTCATATGCACAAAATGGTTAGCTCTATGAGGGAGGCCAGCACGCACATGGGTTCGGAGACAAAGCCCGTCAACACAGGATGTGGTGGGGATGACCATTCCACATACATGAGGGAGAAGCCGGACGATCAAGATGCCCTCAGAATAGGGACTCATGGCGGGAACATACAAGAACAAGTTCTCAATATAACACCAGTTTACCTAAGAAATAGAATCAAAAAATATATGCCCATTTACCTCAATTTTGTAAAGGAATGTCTAAGTGATAAGAACTTTTCCACGGTGATATATTTTCTGGATTATATTTTCTCCGATTTCAAGAAGCATGAATTGTATGACACGTTGGTGAAGGACATGAAATGCATACCTCTTTTGGTCATCCTGAATTATGACACATCGTATTTGAAGATGAAGTTGGAAGGATTCTTACCTTCTGGGGGGATGTACACTGGGGACAGCGCCTCAATCGCTGCTGCGAAGGAAAAGTTAACGGGGGAGGAAAGGGAAGGAAACTCCTGTGGGAGTAACGAAGAGGAGACATTTAAGACCAAGTGCGATGAGGGAGATATGGACGGACGCTTTTCTCACGATGGAAATGTTGATCTAATTGGAGAAGATCACAATGACGATGCTAAAACGCTCGAGTGTGGAGAAAGCGCTGGGTACTCCTTTCCTAAACAGGATGATCATTGGAAAGGGGAAACAAATCATGTCATGCCCATATGCACACATAACCTACTCAAAATTAAGAACAGCAACTTTGACACGGAGGAATTTTTCAATTACAATTTCATTCAGCTCATTAAGTATGACGAAAATGAAAAAATTTACACGTCAAAGTATTTTTATTTATTTGATTTAGACAGAGTGATGTTTATAAACGTCCATTTTTATTCCTCGTCAATTTTGTCTCTCCTTCTGGAGACCCAAATTGTGGCCAATTTGAGTTTTAGTAATTTGTTCCAGGTGCTGAAGCATAATTTGTACCCATCCATTTTTCATCCTTGCTCTCCGCTCGATGGAAATGGAGGCAGTAATGATGGACTTGATAGTGAGAAAGGCGATGCTTTGGTGTACGTGAGCGTGGAGGGGGAGCAAGCACACCCACGTCAGCATACACAATGCCATCTGAGGGGAGAAAAAAACCAACGCCCCAAGAACGCTGACCTATATAACTGCATAAAAATCTCCTACGACGCAAATGTCATAATGTATAGTAGACTCCTCCTCGACATGATAAGCGAGCTGTGCAGTGAACAGCCTTACAACAGCGTCCTGCACACGCTGAACAATTTCCGCCTGCTCATCACATTTGACAAGGAAGCACAAAATGCAGAGAAAGCTTATATGTATGTGCACAGCTGGAACGATATAAAAAATATCCTTAGCTTTAACTTCGGAGACCCCCGCATGGAAGCAACTTTATATTTATTGGGCTACAAAAAAATGCACCCCACCATGTCAGACAATTGCATCTTTAGACAGTACTTAATAAATAATTATGAGGATGTTATGTTGTCCTTATATCGAAATGGGGACTACCTGAATTGGTCAGCACTTAATATGGAGGACATGGATTTTCTCCTGCTTGCTTTTCTTTCGACCATCAAATTTAATAGTAATAATATTTTTTATTTTAAAGCCTTGCCCATTTTTTATTCTTTAAATTGTTTTGCATACATCAATTTGGCAAACAGAAATAGGAGGTACATTGTGGTGTGTACGAAGAATTTGCAGTTGTTCTCGCGTGTACTATCTCAACTGTGTATGGGTAGTAGCACCAGCGAGGGGGGGACTGACATGGGAAAGAGCATCGAGGAACCGAACATCAGTAGGGGAAGTAGAGGAAGTAGCACAATTGAGGGGGATAGTACTAATTGCGCAAATGGAGTAACAATGACGGATTTGCGAGAAGGTAATAAGGATGAAGGGATTGCTGTGCAAAGTGGCGCTGATCAGGGGGACATCCTTTCGGAGGGCTCACCCCTGAAGGCAAGTACAACAGGGGACCATTTCTCAACAACGATCAGCAACGAAACAAGCACACCGATTAAGTATACTTTTCTGCACCACTCCAACGTAAGTGTTAAGTACTGGAAACACATCAACATCGAATGCTGGTGCGGGTATGACATCATCGCTAATTTTTTGTTACAAGTGATACAAGATTGCAGTGATGAGAATCTCTTTCACTACATTGTGCTTTTTATCTACAAGGAGTATGAAGACATGCTGGAAAAAAAAAACGATCAAACAAAAATTAGGACGGAAAAATATTCTGGTAATATCCCTAATGTGTGTGACGCAAATGAAGTGGATGGTTTAGAGAATCACTACGGGGAATTCCTGATGAACATTTGTGGAGGGATGAAAGAAGTGCGATTGAAGTTTAGAGGACATGTGCAAATAGCTCAACTTTACAACGCTAACAGTGACTTGTTTAGGGAGTTTATAAATGACAACAAATTGTTCCATTTTGTGCATTTGACTAATTTAAAATATGAAAAGGAGTTTCTGGAAAAATTAAATTTTCATTTGAACCCTAGCATGACAGAGTTAAATAACTTCCTTTACATTTTAATTAGTGTTGTAAAGAAAACAGCTAGCGAAGGCGCTTCGGCTGTGATGCCCCTGGAAGACATTTTTCACGATATCTGTGTTGATAATAGTAGGTATGACACAAAATTTGATGAGGATAATTTGCATAACAAAATGCACTCCTTGCTTCAATACGCAGAGGACAATTTCGAGATGCTGCTTAAAAAGAGGGACGATAATTTTGCCTATTTAATGGGATCCCTAATGGAGCTGTTACTGAATAGCAAGCGATTTGCATCGACGGCAGGTGCGTATAAAACGCTGGAAGGTTATTTCGTGCAAAAGGGCAAAGCGAGAATGGGGTACTCGATAGAGGGGACACGCGACAGGGGGAAGGGCACCATCGGGGAGGGACAGGATGGAGAGAGACACAAGGAGGACGCGGAAGGAGAGGTGGAACAACCAGTTGAACCAGTGGTTGGATCACATGTAGAAAATTGCGTCGAATCAACAGTGGTAGAACAAATTTGTACCGTGGAGAATCAGTGCGATGGCGAGCTGAATGAACAGGAGGAGGAACCTTACAAGCGAAGTAACGAAAGGGAGACGCGGGAAGAAGCGGGAACTGTCCACACTAATGTACCAAAAGTGAGCTCCCAACTTACTAAGAGCAAAACCCTATGATCGTAATTTTATTTTACGCAAGCGATTACTTCGAGGTGTGTGTGCAGTGAAGAAAAATTACTTGTACTTCCCTCCTGTAAAGGCGGCAACTATGAAAATACGTGAATGGGAAAATGAGCAGACAACATGTAAACAAAAACGGTGAAGTTACCTGTACCGGGCAAACCGTTCATACACGAAAAAAAAAAAAAAAGGGATGATTAAGCATACCAAATGACACATTATGTGTTCGTTTAAGTATCCTCTGTTCTTCGTTTTTTTTTTTTTAAGTGTCATAATGACACTCATTAGAACAAACGTTTGCTCGCGTAATTCTGGCAGTACGTCCGCGCATGTGTAACTATACACACAGATAACATTTCTGCGCGTAAAAAAAAAAAAAAAAAAATTATTGGACGTACAAAGCGTCCGTGTTGTGTCCATGTGCTGGGTACGCATGTGCATTTATTCGTTCTCACAATTTTTTGTTTAATTTTTTCAAGTGCGAGAAATAATTTTAAGTGCGTCAAATTGCGGCATGAGTTTGTGCGTCCATTCGGCCACTTGGTGGTCCATTTCACATCCGTTTGGGGTGATTTTTTCTGTAAGACTGAAACGATTTTCAAATTTGAAAGCCAGCGTGCTGACGGGCAGATGGAATACTAATCTTTGGCTCAGTCGATTTAAAGTCCTCTTTTTCTAAGTTGGACTCATCAATTTCGGAGGGGCACACAAATGTGTGCTGACGGGACCCCGTGCGATGGGTGCTTGTAAGGAGCATATGCATTTATGTGTATATGTATATATGTTAATAAGTGTGTTTTTTTTTATTTCCCCCCCCTTGTACACAAAATGGGGAACACTGCGAACAAAATGTCCGTCCTAACTGACGACCGCGCCAGGGTGACGGAGCAAGCGCCCAGCAAGAAGTACAACATTTTAATTCTGGGCCTTAACGGATCAGGCAAAACAACACTACTGTATCATAATTTTATTCCAGGTGAGTGTGACTTGTCATTTTTGTGGTTGAAACGTACAGCTGTTTGGTGTTCCGTAATTGGGACATACCCACGTGAAAGCGACACGTGGATCAGGTTAAGAAAATGAATTTGATAAGTCGTGCCGACTTGTACCCACTGAGCCATAGGCAACGGGGCAAAATTAAAAAGACTTAAATGTGTGCACTTTTTTTTTGTTTTTTTCCCCCCCGCAATACATGCGAAAGAATGGACAGACATCACGTCACACATGGAACCAACCATATCTTACCACTATGAGGAGATTAAATGGATAAATGGGAGAATAGGTTTTTGGGACATGTCAGGGAATCCAGTAGTTAGTAACCATTAGTGTTTTTTTTTTTTTTTTTTTGCGTCCAAGCATGCAACAAAAAAGAGTGTGTGGTTTATTTTCCCCCTTCTTTGTTACACCTTTATGTTTTCCTCATTTTTAATTATCCCCCTTGTAGATGAGGAGCATTTGGCAACTGATTTATCGGAACGTCAAAGTGAACGCAATATTGTACGTTATTAACATAATGGACATATCGGATGAAATTTTAAGAGAGAACAACTCACTCATAAGTCTTCTACTGAATGATGAATGCCTGCAAGCGTCCTGTGTGGTGTTAGTGTTTAACACGTTTAATGATGTGGACAGTGTGGATGAAGCTACAAAAAATCAGGTATACGTTAAGTACAAAATTAAAGATTTGATTAATCATTATGGGAATAGAATTCATCACATTTTTGTCGATTGCAAAAATTGTAAATTGGATAAAAACTGGATGGGCTTGATGCAACAAATTTCCTACTACTTCTGACGTAAGGGGGAAAAAAAAAGTGTTAACTGTAGTGCGCACTAATTGGGCATAACAAATGGGTTTTCTCACGCGGCAGAAGAAAATTGGCGAGGCGGGGCTCTCTTTAAATGTATACATAGAGTACATACGTGTGTGTGTTTGCATGTTACAGCTGTGCACACGATGTTTTTGTGCTGTTGTGCTCAGTTAACTCTCATTTTCCTTTACCGACGTTGCTGGCGCAGTGGTCCTTTTGCAAACCTGCACAAAGGCGACAACTCCTTGAAAAAAAAATGTATTTCAAATGGGCGATTTGTAACGGAAGACAGGAATACACGGTCAAAAGGGGAAAAAACAACAAAAAAAAAAAAAGAGGATATACGGTCCTAAATGAGGTAATGTCCTAAAAGATGTAATGTCCTAAATTGATAAATCATATTGAGAAGCGACAACATAACCCTCCCTATGGTGTTGGATGTCTCCCCCAATTTTTTATGTTAACACGGATTTTAAAAAAAAAATGTGGTTAAGAAAGGAATAATTGTTAACGCGCCCTATATGCTACACGAGCGAGTAGCAAACTTAATCTGTAGAATTAAAGGGGGCAATATGCTGATGCGCGAAAATAGGAAAATGAAATGAAAGAAAAAAAAAAAGACTTTTAAACACGAGGATAATTATTATTCACCGTTACATGATTGTGCTTGGTTCGTTTCGTTTTGTATTTTTTTTTTTTGCCTCAATGTTCATACAAAGAAGGAACATTTTTGAGATACATTTAAAAGCTAGTGGAAACGCAAAAGTTCGTTAGGAAAATCGTATGGGTGAGCCGAGGACGCATGTAGCGCAGCATGCACATGTTGCATATGAAGGTATGTTTTTCCATAAGCACATTGCTCTGCATCCCCCCACACACTTACATGCACATTCTCTTGTCATCCTAAATTGTGCATAAAGGACAGTCATCCGTCCACCTGCTCTCAGGCGAGTACTCATCTTATTTTGTGTAATGACAGCTACCAACCGGTTAAGTTACGTTTTTTGTTTTTCTGCATTTTTGTAGTGTTCTTGAGGTTTGCCTACAACTTGAGAAAAAATTCTCAAAAGGGGTGGGAAAAAAAAAAAAAAAAAAAAAAAAAAAAAAAAGGGAAACAAAGCAATATTTTCTACTTATTGGCATACCAAACAGCATTATAGCAAATAAAAAGAGCGAATTGAGGAAAAATATTATAGCTTTTTTTTTTTTTTTTTGAGGGCTTATTCAAAACAGGAAAAGAAACGATCCCCCATTAAATGAAAACCTGGTTAAAACAAAAGGGAACCCTCTTTAAGCATGAAAACAGGTGTAAAAAAATGAGAACCAAAGCGAATGCAATTTGAGAAAGTTTTTTTTAAAAAAAACAAAGTCCAAATTCATGTAATAATGAAAGCGAAAAAAAAAAAAAAAAAAAAAAAAAAAAAAAAAAAAAAAAAAAAAAAACAGAAATACAGAAAAAAAAAACAAACAAACTTTTAAGCAAATAAACACACTTTATCAAATCTCAATGGTAGTGAAATGAAAGCAGGGGAAAACAGCAACACAGAGAATGATGCGTTAAAGTGGCAAATGGAGAAAAGCGTAAAACACAGAAAGCGCAAAAATAGCCATACAGACGCGGTACTGTCAGAACAACATGGGGTGCTTGGTACCCAAAGGGACGATGGCGTCTTCGCGAGCGGGGTGGCGGATGTGGTCACAGGAGGACGCAGAAACGAGCGGATGAGGAAAGGAAAAGTGGCGGAAAACGTGCAGAAGGCCGAAAAGACGGGAAAAAAGGACAGAGCGGATAACAGCAACCCACGCAGAAGCCACAGGGCTAGCAGCATGGGTTCATCAGTTATGGACGCAGCCTGCTCCAAAAGGAACGACAGCGACGTAAGTAGCGAGGTTAGTAGCGGGGTTAGGGGTGAAGGTAGAAAGGGCACTCGCGAAGGGTACGAATACGACCTTGGTATTGACAACGACGCGGAGAACGAAATGGACGAGGAGTACGACGATGACATGAATATCCACATGGACGACGCGCAGTTTGACTTGTGCGATTACCAGGACTATGAAAATGAATTGGAGGAACACAACACAAAAGGGGAAGGAAGCTTAAAGAAAAGCCTGAGGGAGAATTCTGTCTACACAGACTCGGATGTCTCCTACGTGAGTGACATGGACAAAAGCAAGCTGGACGCGAAAAATGATTGCTGTTGTTGTTTCGCGAGGAGGGCGAAGAAGTACAGCAGCGTGGATGTGAAGAACTATGGGGATGAGGATAACTGCGGCGAGGTGAACCCTTGTGGATGCGCAGAAAATGGGCACAGCAGAGACCACGTGTGTGGGTGTGGAAACCAGAAGAGGAAGAAAAACGCAAGCAACGAACTGAAGAACATGGACTGGTTAATTTACACCATAAGATATATGGACTATAGACGTCTGCGAAGAAGATTTAACGGAATAAGGAAACCAATTTCGAAAAAAATTGTCTTTATTATAACCATTTTTTGTTTAATCCTGATATCGTGGAAATATTTCAAGACGTCCTATGAGAACAGCATGCTTACAATTAGCTTCAAAGTTCAGACGTCCTTTTTATTTTTTGTAGAAGCTGCATTGGTAATTATTGGAGTCATCATTTTTGCAAAATTCCAAACCAGGCTGAGCTTACACTGGCCTATTTACGCCTCATACATATTTATTATTTGCGCATCCATTTTGTTAATATTCTACGAGAAGGACAAATATGATAAAATTTCGAGAGGGGAACACATATTAATGATTTATGGGCTTGTTCAGTTATCCCTAATAATTATTGTGAAGGTTATTATTTGCATCGGTCCTCTACTGGCTATATATGGTTTTTTCTGCCCATGTACAGAGCATTGTCGAATTTTAAAGAAGAAGGTCTCAACGAATAAATTAAATATAACAGTAAGTCGGTACAACGATTTTGCAGGAATGTGTGGAAATAACTTTTGCTGTTTTTGTCTCTGTGCTTATCGATCCTTCTATCGTATTGTAAATTGTTTTTACAAAAGATTTTCTAATTTGCGTTTTAAAATGACAAATGATAGTATCAATGAGGCCCCTTTTAGTCACCAGCTAAGATATAAGGGGAAGACAGATATATATGGTCGACCTCATGGTTATGGAGAATGGATTGAAGATCATTCATATGGAGAGAAGCTAAGAGGTTTCTGGTTCCATGGGTACCCAGTAGGTCCCTTCATATCACAGGAAGTTGGTAGTGGATCTTTATTTGTTAATACAAGAGTTGGTTTCGCTGCCTGTGTAGGAAAAGATTGGTCAGATGTACGATATGGCGTGTCCTGCACAGAGTGTTCTATCAGTGGCCATTTCTTCAATGACTTTCCATTGACCTATTTTTTCAATCCTAAAATTGAGAAGGATGCCAATGGAAGGCTACCAACCAATAGGTATGATATAATTGTAAAGGATATTTTAAAAGAAAATTATGAAGACATTTTAGGTTACGATTTGAAATGGTGTTTTAATATGCTAAAGGTTAATAGCAGCACCACAACGGAGTATTTCTCCAACAACTGTATGATTTCTATTGACCATGTGACTATGAGCTTGAAGGTTCATAATTACAAACGGTTGGGGCCTGTAAAGAGGAGGAACAATAACATCCTCGACGAAATTACCGTAAAGTTGGTACACCTTCCCAAGGTGAAAAAGGGGAAAAAAATTTACAAAAGGGGTTGTCCCTATCGGTTTAGTGGTGATGGAAATAACTCTGTGCTGTATGTCAGACCAGGAAAGCACGATGAAAAGGTGAAGAGCAAAGAAGGTGAAGAATTTTTTTATTCCAATCAGAACAAAATTCATAACACTATTAAAAAATTAAGTACACAGGGGAACCAGCATTATGCAAATGAGCTAAAGGAAGACAACTACCATTCCTACTATACCCATAAGTTGTCAGACCAGCTTCTGGACTCTGTAAATGATGATATTTATTTGTACAAAATGAACAAGTCGATAAAATCCACGGAGGTGCACAAGGCGCCATACGTGTTCGATCGCAGTGGGGACAGCAGCAATCCTGATGAGGACATGAAAAGGGGTACAGACCGGATTGGCCAAGCTCTAAACAGCCAACATGGTTGTGTTTTTCCCCATCGGAACAACTATTATGACGCACAGGGAAAATATCATAATCGCAACATGGGTGGAGACACCCACAAGGACACCTCCCCCAAAGTGCATTTCGACAGAAGTGATGACCAAACAGGTGAGCTTCCAAACGAACGAGAGAAGAGGCAGAGAATGTGCCATATTCCTCCTCATGTCAGCCTCTTCACGGAGGATAGCGCTACCCAAAATAACTCCTCGTTTTGCCGAAAGGATGACACGTTTGTTATTAATATAAACGGCTTCGGAAGTGACAGGCGACGCGGTGGGGCATCTGACAGAATAACACATAAGAAGGAGAGAATGAAGAAGCTGCGCAGGAGGGAACCGCTCCTTGGCAGTGCCCCACGTGGGGAAAAAAACGCATACATGGAGGATCCCTCCCTTGATAGCGAAAACGAAGACAAAAACGAACACGAAAGCGAAGCGTCAAGGTGTAGAGAAAGAGAACTCCTGTGTGACAACCTTTTGCATGCCAAGTTTAGGGAGCATCCCGCGGTAGGCATGGAAAAGGGGGGGAGCAATGAAAAGAGAGAAAAGGTCGGTAGGGTGAAGCGATCAAGTGAGAGGCGGCACAGCAAACCGGATGTAGAAAAGGACACCGCTTTATGCGCTACGGTAAATGAAGCCAATCACGTGCAGCAAAGTGCATCTGAGGGGAGGTACGCGAAACAACCAGAAGAAGATAAAAAGCAGAAGAACAAAAACAACGTTACTCTACCTAATGAGCAGGAGAAGCAGTTCGAATCGGACGAAAATAAGAGTAAGGACTCCCCGAGGGCAAAAAAATATGAGGAACTGAAAGGGAAAGAAAAGACAGCTAACGCAAAGGATACGTCAAGTGGCAAATCAAATTTTGGAGAAAATAAAGCGTTATTCATTTCAGATATTTTTAAATCTTTTATAAAATCGGGAGTGTCGAGAAATTCAAGAAAAAATGATGTGAAGAATAACTCCAGTGATGACATAGAAAATAGCATGGAGGAAAATTATAATACGGAAAAAAGGGCAAAGAGTAAGAAATCAAAAAGAAGTTATTCAAATTTGAATAAAGGAAGGAAAGAGATTTACAACAAGACCATGAAAAAAGTAAGTCTGCACAAAATGAAAAATTCAAAAATAAAAGGATTTGTAAAAAAGTATACCAGACAGTACAGAAAGGGCTCTATCTATATAACTTCCAATAACAAGAAATTCGATAAGTTCATTCGATCCAAGTATAATAATAATAATAGTACAAATACACAAATAATAAGCACGCTGGGGGACACAGTAAAAAGTGTTAATGAATCCTTTGGTAGTTTGAATGGTGGAAATTTGTCAAGTTATAATATGAAGAGGAATAAAACCATTGCGCAGGTGTTCGCAGAGGAAGATGAATGGGAAAACTATCGTCATCAACAGAAGGAAAAGATTATTGTGGAGGGTTGGCAATCATTATCTTTAAAACAAAATTTAAGTTTTATGCCAGACGAAATTGTTATATATATACATGGATATAATGTGAAGTTACATCATGGGTGTTCTCAATTGGCTCACTTGGTTTCTTTTTCCAAGTTGCCATCCTACATACAACCATTTGTTTTTCACTGGGAAGGCTACATGTGGGGTGCCTTTTCGGCTCTGTCCTACCCCGTCGCGAAGAAAAGATCCGAGATGGCAGTCCTGGGAAATTCCTTCAAAACATTTATACAGGAGCTTATCAACTCGGGCATTAAGAATGTGCATCTCATAAGTCACTCCTGTGGATCGAGGCTTTTTTTTAATGGGTTTGCTAGCTGTGTGGAGGATAACCTCTTTTATAACGTACTGAAGAGTGAGAAGTCGGCGGGGAAGAAGGGGGATACCGCTGGGTGCGAGGCGAACCACGCTGCGGGCACGGACGATGCTAGCGATGTTAGCGATATGAGCGATGCTAGTGATGTTAGTGATGATAGCGATTGTAGCGATGTTAGCCGCGTGGGAGCCAGTGGGGTTGATCGGGCGCCTGGCAAGAAGCGGCGGGGGAAAAAAAAGAACAAGCAAATCATAGTAAAAACAGTCATTTTGCTAAACCCAGATTACCCTCTGGACAAGTTTTTAGAAAAGGATTTTTTCGTTCTGAGGAGCCACTGCAACCACATCGTCATGTATGGAGACACGAGGGATCAGGCGCTGACTTACTCCGAGACGTGGAATCGAGAAAAGTGCCTGGGAAAGAGAATTTTCAAGTTGAAGTTACCCCTGTACAAAATATACAATGGTGAAGATTACATGAATTTAAAATTGGACCGCAGTAATTTCCTAACGGGCAATTACGAGGACAAGTACAAAATGTGTGACAACGTTTTGTTTCCAAATTCGTCTTATGTGGAGGAAAAATTGAAGTTGAAACAAAGGCAGCTCATCGCGGAGCAGTTGGACAGGGGTGATACGCAATACCAGAGGGTGAAGGAAAATGAGAAAGAAGAAAATCAGGCACAAAATAAATCTACGAATACTAATGCAAACACCAGTGGGAATGACCAGCACCACGTGAGTAAAACGATTCGTAAGCCATCCACATATGACTATGATGAAGGTGGCTCGTACATTTCTGAAGACCTGGCGCCAAATTACCTCAATGAAAATTTTCTCAAAACGGTAGAGTTTAGTGACTCCAGTTTAAGGGCCTTTACATCCAAAAGGAGGTTTAAAATATCTAAGGCCTTTAAAAAAATTAAAAGAAAATGGCTATACAAAAATAAGAAAAAGCACATTTATTTTAACCAAAACTCCGTTAATACTTCTAATAATATGAAAATGAAAGAACGGGTATCTAAGTCATCAGCTCAGACGTGCAGAAAAAAAGACACTGTTTATATTTCGTTTGATAAATATGCTTGGCTAGACATGGATGTGATTGACACAACTTTTGTTGAAACCAATGTGGATTTTTTAAAACATTCATTTTATCAGGTAAAAAGAGAAATCATCGATGACATACGGGAGGTACTGATATCGAATATACGTGCGCACGAGCGTGTCAGTCGGTTGGACAGACGGAGAGGCAACGTCTTTGTGTTGCGAGTAGCTCCAGCTGGGGTTGGTAGCCTCCATCGGTAAAACACTAGTTTGCTCAACCGTGCGGGGTATTATATATCTCTCTCTTGTTGCGCGCATGTGTATATCTACTTTCGCGTTTCCTTTGTTTTTTTTTTTTTTTGTTTTTTCTGTTTCTATCCTGCGCGGATACAACTGTGTGCTGTGCATCTTTTTTGTCTGGCGCATTTTGTCCTTTTTCATTTCCCATCGCCTTCACGATTAGCGTTCCATCGTTTCATAATTTAATTAAGTTTTTTTTTTTTTTTTTTTTAATTTTTCCTTCCCTGGATTGGGGAAAAATATACCTACTTGCATTTGTCCTTTTCATTTTGTGGAAAAATTTCTACTTTTTGGTTTTTTTTTTTTCTGCCCTTGTCTTGTCTCTATTTATATGTGCCCGTTCAGCGCGTATGTTTTTGTTGTGCTGAATTTTGTTCCCATTTTGACGGGACGCAAATTTGATGTTTTTAAATTAAGATTTAGCTATATTTACCGTTTCGTTAATTTTCCTCCCATTTTTGCGACAATATTCGATTGAATGCACGATTGTGTGCGGAATGCGCTGTGTGGGATAGAGGTGTTCCCTCTGCGTCAGCACACATGGCGTGTATATATGAACGACTGGCACACGCCGTTGTTGCAATCCCCCTAGAAACGTTTGCGAAACCCGTTTGTTCCCTTAATGAAGCGGCAGCCCGCCGTGTGTTTCGCTTTGTAGGCGGATACACCCACATGGGGTTTGCGCTATACCATTTTGGTGAATGCAAAGCGGTGTTGATGTGCTCCTGCTCGGAGCAGTGTGAACATATGAAAACGCCCTAGCGTGACTACTTTGCTGGCGCAAACATTGTCTCGCATGGCGCGCGCTTCGTACCAGCGCAGAAGCACAGAAGTTATTAATGTTGCGGGTTATTCTAGGCAGCAAAAAAAATATATATATATATAAAATAAATAACGAGCGAACGAATGAACACATTTAGCTGCTCACAACGGGCCCCTGTGTGTTAAAAGTTCTAAACGGGATATGCCCTGTAATAGGGGGTACCGATTCGGTCTCCACCGAATGTTTTTCAAATGACTGCGCAAATGAGGGGATGAGCCCCTCTTAATAGGAAAACGCACTGATCCAGCTACTACACATGGGACTCTCTTCAAAATGGTATAGGACGCACTACATGTGTAACAACGCTCGTGGTGGAGCGTGAACTCTGTAGCGGCCCTCTCCGCAACAATACTTCATCCTCGACATGGAGAAGCAAAAGGGCCACAACACCGTATACACGCAGGTAATGTATCCCAAAATAACGGACATAAAAATTTCCCTAATGAAGATGTACGTGCAAATCTGCAGGGGTAGACACATTATTGTACTGCCTAAAAACGTGTGGGTACTGGATCGCCGGGATACTTTCAATTATATAATTTTCCCTCAACTTAAACCACAAATCTTTTATCTCGTTAATGGTAAAGGGGTGATCTATTCCCCTGTAGAAGTATCTCGCTTCATATGTCATCAACGATATTTTCACACCTGGCCTTTTTCCTTCATTGTAAAAGGCAGATAAAATTCTGAACTTTGGTGAGTTTAGCCAATACTTGTCAACTCTCTCTAAGGGGGGCGGGTCGAATATTCTTGAGAACCATAACATGAAGGCGAAAGCAAACATGGACGTCCAAGCATTACCAAAGAATAGAAAGGACCCATTTGTGTATTGCCCTTCAAAAAATCTTCTCCATAGAGGCATACGGCTGTAGTTGGGTGATTCTAGGAACCACCTCGGGGTGAATATTTCCTTAAACTCTACATTTCTTTTTAATACTTTTTGGCTGCTTAGAAGGATCCTGGTTGCGTTCATCCTGGCTGCTTCGTTGGGTCATCAGAGGGGCGGGGGCGCTGCCGACACGTCCGTTAGCAACGTTTCTTGGAACGCAGATTGATGCGTGTGTTAGCATACGCGCCCCTGAACTGTTCACGCATACGCAGGGAAAATTATCTGCTCACATCTGAAGAGACCATAAATATGGCTTTTTCCCTGTAGGCAAATTTGAACTGTTTTGTTATCCCTCACAATTTATGAGTGTGCCTACTCCGCGGAATGCAGGCAACGTGAAGTACTTGCACGAATGCCTTGTGTGAAGGAAAAAAATAAATTCACAAAATATTTTGTAATAAGCACAGCGCAGCGTAGGTTTATTTATTTATTAGTATTTTTTTTTTTTCAAAACAGGATGAATTATATATTTGGGTGCGTATTTCACGTACTGTGGGGGGCACAGGGCACTAATATTTTTATACCCCCGGGGAAGGGCAATTTTTACGTTCTATAGATTTTCGTAGAAAAAAAAAAACGGGCCAAAAGGAGAAGCACTTCACAGATTAGTACATAATCATATTGAACACTCATTTACCTTTTTGCACTTTTATCGAAGCGGCAAACCCAGTTTGTAATAATGTGTTTGCAAATGATGGGTGTTTGCCTGGCATTTTTTTGTACCTTTCCATGGTGTCGTCGCTTTTGCGTCATTATTAAATAATAGAATGGAAGGGGCCAAACGGTTGGTGCGCGGGGGGGAATATTACCAATGCATATATAAGCAGAGTACACAGGTGTGCGTACCTACACATAAGTGTACACCTACGTCGCACATCTGCTGCGTTGGTTTTGTTCTTAAAATGTCAACGGCGTGGAGTGGAAAAAAAACCTTTCAAAGGCACCACGGGGACATTTTATTAAGGGCAGCGGATTAAAGCAGGGAGTTTATGTTTGCCCCTAAAATGGGTGAGTAATGTAGCAAATGCAGATAAGTGTGTATCTACCTATGGCTCACATATGTGTGCAGACGCTAAACATTTTCGAAGGGTGACGTGGGAAAACCCTTACTCCCCTGGTGTTTCCACCTCCCCCCGGGAGACTATCCAAATAAACCCGTTGAAAATAAAATGAAGCTACATCAATCAAAAACATATTAAAATGGTTAAAAAAATTTTCGTAGTTATTTTTCCCCTTTTTAAAAATTTCGGCAAAAAAAAAAAAAAAAAATTGACAACAGGGGTCAACAAAAGGTTGTCAAGTGGTTGCTAAAAAGATGCTAATTGGCTACTAAATTGTTGTTAAAGAGGTCACAAAAATTAATTAAAAAATTATGAACAAAAAAAAAAAAGAAACAAGAATTATGAGCGGGAAATATTCCCAAGCAAACTTCAAAACGAGCCCAACGGGGGGCCTTCACATGTCAGGAAAAGTGAAGACGCGATAATTCGCAACAGGGGCGCATGCTCGCTAAGATAAATGAGGAAACATTTTCTTCATCCGTAGAGTAACCATTTCCAGGTCAGTAGTTGTTTACGTTCTTGTTTATCAATTTGTCGTGCACTTCTAAAGAGTTGAGGGGAAGGAAAAGAAGAACGTGCAGTTATATATATGCACAAAACACAGCTCACGTTGCACACCACTTTGGGTGCATGTCACTTTAGTGATAAATGGAAGCCATTACAACGTTTAAAAGGAAAAGTGAACCAAAAAGAAGCTGCCTTTTTTTTTTTTTTTTTTTTTCTAACCTTTATGATCACTTTTGACGGGTTTTTTGAATTTCCTAAATTTCTTGGATGGAACATAGGTGTTCTGCACGAAGCTATCGAAGTCTTTATTTTTTTTGGAGTCCACTTCTCTGTCTTTCCACTTGCTCCTTTTAACTATGATTGGTCTATTGCCAATAAATTTATTGTTCATATTTTTCAATGCATCTAGCATGTCTTCAGGGTTCGAGAGGGACACAAAACCGTAGCCTTTCGTCTTGTTGTTCCTTTTCTCACGAATTACCTGTAGGGGATTAAAAAGGGGCGTTGTTTTAATCATGTAACGTGGCTTCATCGCGTCCACTTCATCACGTCGGAATGTAGACTTGCGGAAGTGAACTCTTGATCACTTGGGGGGGTGGTGCGACATAATTGGGTAAATTGTAAAAAGTACATGTGTTCGAAGGCGCGAACACAGCTGATCCCTTCGAATGTTTCTCACCTTTGCCATGTTAAACGATTTGTACTTTCTAAAGGCGTTGGCCAAAATGTCCGTAGTCACTTCGTTTCCCAAATTTCCGCAAAAAATTCGAAAGTCATTTTCTGGCCAGTCATCCATTGATGGGTCCTTCCACACAACGCCAGCTGCCTTCCGTAAATGTGTCTTTAGGGAAAGGTGAAAAAAGAAAAAAAAAAAATGAGAACAGCGCTAAGATATGCAATTTTTTGTACAAGTACGTGTAAGATAGAACGTAATGACACTGAGTTTAATCCGCGTCTGAACGCAAACAACTTGGACCGTTGTGCAGTTCCGTTGCGAAAGCACAGCGGGATGATGAGATTAGTGCAAAAATGTGGTATCACTTAAGTTGGAATGCATTTTTGTGCAGTCGCTGATTAAACATTTTGTGCAATTATTCTTCGAAGTGTTGCCACTTCAAAGGTATAGGATACTTTTGTACGGCGCGCATCTTTGTGCTTACTTTGGGTTTATTCGATTTGTCATTTTTCGTGGGGGATGCATCATTATCCAGTTGCGTGTCCTCTCCATCGTTGGCGTTCATTTGGCATTACTTTGCAAATTGCGCGTTTTTCTACTTTCTCGTTCGCGTGTTCCACAAAATGGGGAGAAAACAAATTTGTTCCTTCGTCAAGATCTGCTTTAGGACTGTATTGGGTTTGGCACGTACGTATATATATATATTATATACATTCGCAATATTATTTTTTTTTTTTTTTTTTTTTTTTTTGCCGTTAAAATTTGGGTAGGCCAAAGGAAAGCACAAAAAAAAATTGACCCCAAAAAAAAAAAAAAAAAAAAAATTCGATAACGTGAAGATGAAATGAAGGGGTAGACGAAAGAGAACGCATTTGGCACATAAACAGAACAACTCAGTTGTTAATATAACGGTTTGTTAATATGCCTTAAAATAAGAATAAAAAAAACAAACGGAAAAAAAAATGCACAGCACTAGAGAAGTGCGCACATATGAACGCATGCAAAATGTGCATATACATTAGGAAAGGCGGGGGGGTTGTGCTTCCACCACATCTTCTCATGTCCAATTTAGTACAAGCTGATATTCGATATTCTCCAGCCAAAATTTATACCTCTGCAAAATAGGGGAAAAAAAAGGGGGCGGGATGCTTGTCATGATGGCTCACAAAATATAGAGACGTGCAAACAACGTTGAGCAAACAAAATATGCTCGTTTTTAAATACCACATTCTCCAGCTCGGCTTTCTTTTTCTCGTAAAACTTTTTCAAGTCGGGAACGTTGTTCATATTTGTAGGCTCTGAGGGGGGAAACGTAAAAAGCGAACACAGGACGTGAGCGTGCGCGCAATAACAAAAATAAATGCAGTTTCAATGTGCATGTTTATGCGCACATTTAATTGTTCTTCGTTGGTGTTTTTTTTTTTATGTGCAATGTACTAATTGTTCGTGCAACAAATATATATCCGTTCTTATTTTTTGCTATTACGTTTTGCTAGGGGATTTTGGGCTCCCATCAAATTGT